ATGTTGTTCTAAAATTTAATTTCTTAAATTAAAGAAGAGCATCTCCTTCCATTTCACCTCTTTAGCATCATTCTCTCTGCCTCAAGTTCTGCAAGGGAATAGCTCCAGCATGTTTTTACAAAAGTCTGTCAGCACAAAAATAAAGGTATCTGGTGTCACACTCTCAAATGTTTCTCATATAGGGCCAGGCAATGAAATAATGCCTGTCTCCACATCTTTACAAAAATCTGGGAAACAAAATATCGAATAAGGATTAACAAAACCTTCATTTTGGCATATGAAGGTCACTCATTAAATAGTAGTATTTCTTATCTATAGTCTATATGGTCAGCAGAGTATTAAACAGGCAAATCACTCATAGAAACACTCAAGACTCCATGTATAAAAGCTGTAACACATTTACCTGTGAGACTGCATTCTTTAGCATCAAAAGAGTATCATCAGTGAGTACACCAAACTTTATCACTTTAGGAAGAACCTCATTAGCTTCAGTCAGGTCACTAGGTTCAGTAACTCTTTCTAAACAGTATACAAACAAAGAGCATAAATCTAATTATTTGATACAGAAAGCAGAAAGCATAAAGTCCCTTCCATAATAAGTTAAAACTCCGATAAAACAAACTGTGTTTCTAATAAACTGGGTTTGATGCAAGTCACTTTCAAAACTAGTGCTGCTTTTAGTAGTGCAGATGCATTTTCAGAAAGGGCAGAAAAATACTTAAGTGTCATCATCCAAGTCTTTACAATCCAGCTTTACAGTTAAGAAATGGTTTTCTGTTCAAACAAAACAGTGGCCTTAATTTGAACTCCTATTCTACAGACAGATCAGGAAAATCTTGCACAGTACTGCCATAAAATGACCAAATACATTATCATAATTTTCTTTTTTCCTCAAATGTCCTGTTTCTAGAAAAAAAATGAAACTAATAGGCCCGTACAGAATACTTTGTAGCTTCAAACTGCACGTTGCTGCTCGGTGAGCCCACATAAACGGGTGTCAGAGCCCGCAGTCTCTGGCACCAAATTAGAGTTAACATACTGCTGATAATTCCTGCATATGTGTGTGGAAATACCTGTTTGCTTTAGAAGCTATTTCCTATGGAGCTAGAGCTAGATACTGAGGTCTGATTGCGACCAGAACCAGAGCTACTCCAGATGCTAGAATAACAATTATCACTGGTTTTATGATAAAGTATGAACTATCAGAATGAAACATGCTGCTGTTGGGTATCAGAATTTGGGTCAGGTCAGGAAGTCTGATACCCCAGTTCTGCTTATCACCACCTTATGGTCTAACTTTCACACACAGCTCCTCATCCTCAAAACACTTTACACAGTTCTAGCAGCTATAGTAACTAAATCTTCTTAGTTCCTCTGAGTGCTGCATGAAAGCTTCATCCTTGCTGGTAAAATGCGGAAGATATGTAACTTTCCATAAATTTAATATGAAAAGCATTCCCGATTTCTGGTTCTACTCAGAGAGAGTTCATACACAGTTAATTAAGCTGGATATGCACCATCCTGAATCCCAGTCACTGTCACCTTTTCCCAGTGTGAAGTACTGTTTAATGCAAAGACTGAAAACCCTGAGCCTGCAGTTATTCGGCACACATACCTTTGGTGTCTCTCAGAAAATATACAGTAAAATCTGACACAAATTCTTGAGGAATTTCATCAAGAGCCACAGAGAAACACACTTTATCAATTTTCTGTTCTTGTAGCTGAAACGGAAGATAGAAAGGAAGTATGACTATTACTGTTTGCTGCCACGTTTCTTAACAGCAAGAGAATGTTTGCTGTGAGAGACAGGACAGAATCATTAGTTTAACTCCACTATCTTCACATTGCTGTCCAAGTAAATTACTAACATTAATGCAATGCTGAAAAAATCCCTCAGGTAACAGTAAAAATCACCAACTTTGGAAACAATGTTGATTTCCAGACCAACAGGACTAAAAGCTAATTTAGTGCTTGAAACATAAGAAAACAGAAAGCACTTAAATGCCCACTCCCCTGTGCCTTTCTGAGAATGTGGAAGCACCTACTCCTCTTCCACCCGCATCTCAGTCATAAACCAAGTTCAGTTAGAAACCCCAGACTCCATCCTGATCATCTAATTAGGTAAAAGACTTGGGGTACAAAGCCCTTTGTTCACTGTTCCTTACATGCTCTTCCCATAGTGTATATATCTAGCAATTGTTCTAACTGCAACTTTTCTTTTACAAGCAACTCTGGGAATAGCTAATGTGGTACATGAGTAACTCACTACTGCATTTTTTCACCAAAAATCATAGTGTTTTGCCAAGTAAATTACCTTTGCAATGTCTTGTCAATGTCAGAGGCTGTGGCAGACACCACAGGCCATTGGTTTTGAATGGAAATTCCTGTCCTTGTAAAATATTCTGTTCTGCTCTGAGAACTTGCTTGGCACAGTACCTCCTTAATTTGCCTACTGATTTTACTGAAACACTTGCATCAGAAAGCCAACATCTTCGTATCCACAGAAGAACAGAGTGAAATACAACAGACTTACCTGCGGTGTGTGTTCCTTGCTGTCAGTTGTAAATCTTTGCTCCAGTTTACTCAATTCAGACCCACTAGAGAGAGTTGATACGTGACCTGACACACTTTCATTGTCTGTAGATTGCAGAGGCAATGTCCTGCTTTTCTGAGTCATCGCTAGAAAAAATAACACAAGAGAACTCAATTAAAGAGCAGTTATTCCATGCATGTGAGATAGATCCTTCCAATTTTCTTCTCTAACTAAACGACAGAGCATTTTCTTCCATCTTCAGCATCACCTTTCAACAACCAGCCATCAAAACTTGGTGTTAATCATACATTTTCCCATAGGACAGCACTATTGCTGAAGAACTGACTCCAAATATGCAAGTGACTGCACTGCATTCCACAGGTAACTGGGCTTTATTTAGAATATCCTTACCAGCATTTTCCAATGCGATCTTTTACAACAAAATAAGGAGATTTAACACGTTTCAAGATTAAACCACTTTGTAAAAGGAAATGCAAACGATTAGGGGTTTTGTCATGCCAGATCTATGAAGTGGAAAATGTTTTAGTTATGTCATGGCCAAGAAGCGATGGTGACAACACTGTAACACAGGAACAACTGCATGAATTGCAGGGCCAGTAAGAATTTCAAACTTCATTTTATACTGTCTTTCGGAAGGTGCACCATATCTTCTTCCCCTTTAGCACAGGATTCTGGACACTTAAAAGAAGTGGAAAAGACATAGTTGCATCTCCACCTAAATCCTTTCTGTACTGATATTATGATCAAACATTAAATAATTCTCCTTGTCTTACTGCTTTTGAGCATTAACCTGCAGCATTGCAGCTGCCTCCATTCAGAGGTGCAGAGTGGGAAGTTGAACTGTATTATTCTTTTTGTCTATTTACACCCACAACAGTTTTCAGCACTTAACTTTCGTGGTCCTATCGGTTTTGCACAGTATGGCTATAAAATACTAGGCCATGACTCTTTGTTTCTGCAAGTAACTGTTTCAGAAGCTTGTGGGAGTTACACAGATATTGACAGCAGAGAAGAGACTTGAATCTCTGAGCCATAGAAAATCATCGCTCTCTTCTGACATCCTTGCTATTGCTTTTCCTTTATTTTTTCCAATTTTTTTTGTGAAAGATTTCTCTGCAATACTGTGGTTAAAGTACTGGACCAATCTTAAGTCTTTAGAGGATCACCACTTTTATCCTCAATAAACTACATCAGAATAAAGAGGAGAGCATGCAACTGTTAAGACAAAGGGAATTAATTCATTCCTACTAAAGGGAACATACTAATTCTATTTATGTTAATAAAATTGATCTCTCAAAATCTGAAATTATAAAGCCAGTAAAAGATGTCACAGACAAAGACTGGATGGAAGACCTGTGTTTGTGGGTTGATTTTGTTCATCTCAGTCAGTCTCTTTCTTTCCATCTGTTTGGAAAAGATGAAAGAGACAAACTAGGATAGGTTTCTTTCATAGGAGCATCTTGAGGCAGAAGCTCTTGAGAAAACATTAGTTAACCACACTGGCCAGGACACTATTCACAAAATCAGATCTGCTTTCCTGGGAAAAGAAGCTGTCCATGTTACAGATACTGCTAGATCTGCTTAGGAGAGGCACATTAGCTAGTCACGTATAGCCCCTGTGGCAGTATGGCCTGCAACAACTACACTTTAGCTGCTCAAAACACCCACTTCCTTCCGACGCCACAGAAGGGGCTCTTTCAGTCAACCGCTCAGGAAACAGGTTATCTGGGCCTGGGCCTTCCACCTGCTGCTCATCTGCATCACCTGTGTCTGCACACAGACAAAATGGGAGGAAAGCATGATATAATCACTCTGCAGTGGGGATGGCACAAATCCCACCGAGGCACAACCAGAAAGGAGAAAGGTCTGGAAATCGGTGGGATAGAAGGGGCTCAGGAGGACTGGACATGGCCCAAGGGATGGAGAGGCAGGAAAAGGGGCAAGGACACGGGTAACAGGACTAGGACACAGCAGATGGGACAAACAGGGGCCTGAGGGAGGCGGAAAGAAGGAGTTGGGGAGAGAAGGACAGAGTGAAGGCGCCTGGGGTGGGGCAGTGCCCAAGGGAGGGCTCAGCAGGCCA